AATATCTTTTAATACACATAATATGTATGCCGAGATATAAAGTCTATTGCTATGAACCAACAAAATAATTTTTTATTCACTATTAAGGAAACTTATCTTGGCTTTTTCTTGTTCTGCTTACACTGAGTACGGATTTCATTTTTGTGTCTCCCTGCTCCTCTACGAGTGCAATACATTCTGGGTACAGTTAAGTCTGAGGCCTCTGCAACATGTTCATGTAAAGGCGCCATGGGATCTGATTCCTGATCCCAACAGTCCTGCCTCCTGCCATGATACATGTGCTGGAGATAATGATCCCAGGCTCCCCCTGCACTGGCAGGTGGAAAGCTAGATGCTCACAGGTTCAGGGTTGAGGCAATTGTTGGTTCTGGCCATGGGATAGCACTGGGTCTGGAACCTGCCCCAGTGTGTTCTGGGGCCAACAATCCACTGATTGTGATGCATACCTGTCACACGTTCAATTTAAGGAACCATACAAGCTATACATAAGATCTATAAAACAGTTTTATGGCTGGTTTGCCATTTTATGGCACCTTAAATTGAGTGCACATGTAGCACCCTTGCCATTTACATTGCAATTAACACATCAATCACAGCATAAATGTAACATACAGGGGAACAAAAACAGATATCAAGCACTTTTTCATATTTTGGCCAACATTTTTTGTTTAATTATCACTGATGCCTTGCTGACTGGTATCAAGGTAAGAAGGTACCTTAAAATGATATTTTCTCTCTGTTATCTAGTTTTGCTTCTTAGAACCAGAGAGAAATACTTATTAATGTGCACCTAAGCATTCGCTGTTGCATATACATTTTGTTCCGTTCTGTTCCCTTTTGTTATTACTGTTCTGTTATTACTATTTCTCCTATCCTTTTGGCTTAGCACTGTAGATATTATTCCCAACAATGTAACAACTTACAGTTCATCTGTAAGAAATTTTGTTTTCTTGTCCAGTAATACATTCCTTATATGCAGTACCAGCAAAGTGTGTAAATTATAGTAACCTTTGACATTGCTTCTAGAAAGCAATGGATTTTCTCCCAAAACCTCAGAAAATTTTTTTGTTAACTTTATAATGATAATGGCTTGCACAAATTCAAGGTTAATGCAATTAACATAAATGTATTGGCGCTCATAATTTATTTAGAAATTCGTTATAAATTCTCTTTGGGGACTCGCTATAGTCAAGATCATGGCCATCATCAAAATGAGCATACCTCTCTTAGTAGATCATATTAAAAGTACAACCTTCATATTTTAAGCACTTAAAAGGAGTGAAATAATAGGTATGGTAGACCTTCAGTAGAATTCTGTTCTAATAAAAGAATTTGAGCTTTTTATTAAAAAAAAAAAAAAAAAAAAAAGGAAAATACATTTATCATGAGGTAATATTTCTCTTTCAAGTCAGCGGCTTGTTAAATGTTCATAGGAAGAAATAACCCAAATGGGAAACTGAGATGGAATACTTATTAAAGTCTAGAGCGGGAAATTCAAAGTTAAAAAAGCAAATAGAAGTGCCTTGTCAAAACCAGATTTATAGAGTTATTTTTCTTTATAGGTTGAAACTGTTGTGAATGTCAGTTTACTTAAGGGCAAGGCCAGCTGCTTCAAGTTTGTATCTACTGCCTTCTAGATAATATATAGCAGTTCATGCCAAATTGTTGGCAACAGCAGAATGGGTAGGATTTTGGCCTGTAATGTTGTCCAAACAATTATAGAACAACATATCCATTTATTCTGTCTTTTACTGATTATGTTAAACAGTTTGGATTTTATGTTGTATTGAAAAGAGAATCCTAACATTTATACCAGAATACGTGCATTTTGTAATGGTGTTCAATTTGTCATGCAATTAGTAATGTATTTGCAACAACTTTACAGGATCCAAAAAAAAAGCCTTTGGGGACAGCTTACCTTGTAGCATTATGTTTAATAATATTTATAAACATGGAGTACAAAAGCTTTGGGACTTCAAAATCGCATTTAACAAGCTGTCTTGATGATGATATTTTTCCCCTCTTTATATGCTCACTTATAAGGAGTCATAACATTTTTAGTGTGCAAAACAAGGTAGTATCAAATGCAGACATACACCAGACAAACCAGAATATTATTATCCGTTATATCTTCTTTATTTTAGAAGAACAAAGGCATATGGATTGCTATTTTTACTATAACAATGAAATACAAATGTATTTTGGTGATGTTTAGACAATTACAGCATTTATAACAAATTATTAATATAAATAATTGTGGGAAATCTGGGTATAGTTGAAATTATTAATTTTAAGTATAGCATATTTTAACCTTGTCAAGTATGAAAGAGTTTATAGCTGCATTATGTTATATTGAATACATTAATATTTGCAGCATGAATCAGATTAATTGGTAGTCTTTAAACAAAATTGTGGGGTTTTTTTAAAAGACAGTTGTTACTGATATACATTATTAATACTGAAACTGAACTGTACTTAATTACATTTTTATGGTTTTAGGTATCGGAAGATTTTTTTTTCCAAAATCAGTCCTGCTTTAACTTTGTGGACAAGGGATGAATTTGACCCATGACAGGAAAGAAATAGGAAAAATGAAATTATTTTCTCACTTAAAAGGTTTTTAAGCACATATTTTACTGTTACTAACCAATATACTGGGATGAGAGGCTTTGGGATTTTGTTTTTCTTTCTTTTACCTCTTTTATTTTTTGGTCTACATTGAAACTAATTTATGGAGGTATAATTTCATTTATTAATCATAATTATATTTTACAATGAGCACTTTTAATGGTAATTTATTATTTAGGA